GTTTGGCAGGGCCCCCACTCCCCCCCCCCCCCCCCCCCGCCCCGTGATGTCACATCTTGGGCACCTCACACACACCCCCTGCGTGTCTGGGGGACCCCCAGCCTGGTGCCCACCTGCCCCGGGCAGGTCCCTGCAGCCCGGGCTGCCCTCCAGAGCCGGGAACCTCGCGGGGCCCCCGGGGCTCCGCCGCATCAAAGGCTGCGGGGATGACGCTGCCACCACCCGAAATATCCCGCGGGGCCGATAGTGGAAAAGTTGATGTTTAGACGCAGAGCAGAGGGGGGGGGGGAAAAACACCCCGGGGGCCCCCGCTGCCCGCGCCGAGGTCAAAACACAGCCCAGCGTGGGGAATAAAATACCGAAATGCGAGGAAAACGCCTGGAAAGGAACACAGCCCGAAATAACCCTCCGAGCATCTCCCGCCTGCCGGGTTATCTGCCTGCTAAATTCTGCTCCTGCCCCGGCATGAAAATAGCCTGTTTTCCTGCGGTAGGAGTCAGGAATATAGATAATGACATTCTTATAAGTCACCTCTGTTACTCAGCTTTTCCTGCGGGTCGGTGACCGCCGGGCACCTTGGGCAGCCTCGACCCCCGGGCGGGCAGGGGCACCCCGGGCACAGGGCACAGACCTCCCCGGCTTGGACAAATATTCCTGGGTGCTGGAAATAGCTGCTGTGGGTCGGTGCAGGGACAGGGACAGGAACAGGGACAGGGCGGTCCTGCCCAGTGCCAGCCTGTCACATCTGGGAAGCCAAGTAACAGCTGGATGGTGGCCACAAGCTGGGCCTGAGGAGGGCTGGGACACCCCCCCAGCAGGGGTGGGGTGCAGGGGGGCTCTGCCTGGGGACGTGGGACAGGACAGTGCCCAGGGCTGCAGGACAGAGGGACGGGGATGCTCCCAGAAGTGCAGGGCAGAGAGATGGTGTCATGCCCAGAAATGCAGGACAGATGGACAGGACGGTGACCAAAGTTTCAGGTCAGAGGGGCAGGATGACACTCAGAGGTGCAGGACAGAGGGACAGAGCCATGCCCAGGGGTGCAGGACAGAGGGATGGTGTCATTCCCAGAAGTTCAGGACAAAAGGTCAGGACGGTGCCTAAGGTGCAGGGCAGAGGGATGGGACAGTGCCCAGAGCTGCAGGGCAGGCAGAGCTGTGCCCTCCTGCACCGACTGTCTGGTGGCCCCATCCCACCTTGCAGGACCGTCCCCATCCCGTCCTGTCCCCAGGGCCAGCGGCACAGCCCCGTCCCCGCTCCCCTCGCCTCCGGTCGGCGCGGACCCACGTCCCGCCCGCTCCCGGCTTGTCCGGCCGCCCCCTCCCATCCGCCGCATTCCTCCGGCGCGGGGCCAACGCGCCCAGCAACGGTGGCAGCGCTGGCCTCTAATCCCCGGGCATGCCAGCCCCGGGGGGACCGTCGCCGTCACCCACTCCCTGATAGGTGACCAATGCCCGAGACGAACAATTAGGGACAAAGCGGAGCCGCCGGGGGCTAACGCCGGCCTTCACGGGTGCCTTGTGCGGCATTCGGCGGGTTTAATGAATTGTCCATCAATCCTTTCAGCTCCGCTCGCCCGGGCTGGATTAATCTGAGAAGCCGCAGTGGGGAAGGAGCCGCTAAGCCTGTATTTATTACTCTGCCATTGTAACTAATTGAGGTAATTATCTGTGACTCCAACCCCGCGCAACAATGCCGCATTCACCGGACCCTTCCCACCGGCTCCTCGCGCGGCCTGGGAGAGCCGGCACCGCGGGCAGGGTGCGGGGACGCGGCGGGGATGGTGGGATGGGGACGGGCAGGGATGCGGCGTGGCTGGCACCGCGGCTGACACTGTGGGGACACGGACAGTGCTGAGGGCACCCGTGCGTTGTGGCGTGGCCAGTGCCAGCTGCACACGTGGGTCACGGCTCTGCGGGGACACCAACAGCGCTGGCACATCCGTGGGCACAGATCTCGGGACGCCAGTGGCACGCGAGGGTCACGGCTCTCAGACACCACCAGCATCCAGACACACGTGGGTCACAGTTCCTTGGGAAGGCAGCCAGCACCAGGACATACAGGACCACAGCTCCCTGGGGACAATGCCAGCCCCGGTGACACATGTGGGTCACGGCTCTCTGGGGACACCACTGTCACCGGTGACACACGGGGCTGCCGTGACTCTCAGACAGCAGCGGCACCGGTGACACGCGTGGCTCACGGTTCCCTGGGGACACCGGCGACGGTCCCGGGGCAGGACCCGGTGCCCCCCCGGTGCCCCCCGGTGCCCCCCGGGGCTGTCGGTCACCGGCTGCGCGGCGACATCTGGCGGCCGCGGGCGACACCGCGCCCCGGTCCGGGGGCACCGGTACCGGGGGGACCCCCCGGTGCCACGCGCGGGCACCCCACGGGCCGAGCCCCCCGCGGGGACGGGGGGGCGGCGGGTGCCCGGGGGGTGCCGGGGGGGGCGGTGCTGGCGCCGGCGCAGCCCGAATTAGAAGGTGATTTTCCCGGCGGGGAGCGGGTTTGGGCAGGAGCTGATCCCACGGGAGGGGCCGCGCCGCTGCCCCCGCGTCTGGGACACCCCGCGCCACGCCGGGCAGGGCGCCGAGCCGTGACGTGCTGTGCCGAGCCGTGCCAGGCTATGCCAGCCTGTACCAGGCTGCAACGAGCTGTGCTGGGCTGTTTAAGGGCTTTGCCAAGCCGTGCCGGGGCTAGGTTGTGCCAAGCTGAGCCGTGACAGGCTACATCAGGCTGTGCCAAGGTGTGCCGAGCAGCGATGTGCTGTGCCAAGCAGGCTGGGCCGAGCTCTTCTGGGCTCTTCAGGGCTTTGTTGAGCTGGGCTGGGATGTGCTGAGCCGTGCCAGGCTGTCGTGCCGTGGTGAGCCATGCCAAGCTGTGCCAACCCGTGCCAGGCTATACCAGACTGTGCCAAGATGTGCTGAACCTTGCCAGGTCATACCAAGACGTGCTGTGCCATTACAGGTTACACCCGATGGAGCTGTGCCATGAGCCTGTGACAAGCCTGCACTGTGCCAGCCATCCTGTGCCATACCAGGCCATCCTGTGCCATGCCAGGCCATCCCGTGCCATGCCAGGCCGAGCCGTGCCAGGTGCCACTGCAGCACCACGGCTGTGCCGTGCTGGGCTGAGGTCACCGTCGGGGCTGGGGTCAGGCCCCGGTGTGGGACGTGCCAGGACGGGGGACGCACGGGGTGACGTGGCCCTGGGGGTGCCCCCCCTGCCCGCGGGTCCCCCCGGCTGTGCCGGCTGCCCCGCGCCGTGACCTCCGGGCCGGTGTCACCGGGATAATGACAGGGTCGCGCAGGGGGGCGGGGGAGGAGCCGGTTTTAAATAACGTGCAAATTGGACACGATATTTGTGCGGTTTCCTGGGGCCGGGGGGATCCTCCCCCCCCAGCAGAGTGACTAAGAGGTGGCGGCCGCTCGGGGGGGGGACGGCACCCCCCCGGTGAGTCACTCGGGGTCCCCCCCCGACCGTGACGTGGGGCCAGTGGCCGAGGGCCAGACCTGCTGCGCTCACCTACTCATTACGGGGGACACGGGGGGGGGTGGCACGTCCCACCCGTGTTGTGACGCGCTGCGGTGCCCAACGGGATGCCCGGGGCCTCTGACTGACCCCAGAACCGCGACGGGGGGGTGTGAATGGACACCTGGGTCCTCATGAGGGGATCTCCAGAGATGCAGGTCCTTGCTGGGGTGGGTGGGGGATGGAGGGGCCTGAGGAGGGTGATGGGCCCCCCCCGACCACCCCCCCCCGACCGCACACACACGGGGGCTGAGGCAGCACATGGGGATCCCACAGCCTTTATTGGGGTCAGCTTGCGGGAGATCCAGCCCTGAGCCCCGCCCCCAGGACCACACCCTGCCAAGCCACACCTCCCATGGACACACCCAGCCAAGCCCCGCCCCCGAGGTGCCACACCCCACCAAGCCCAGCCCCTCAGGCTCGGGTGGGGCTGGTGGGGCCCGGGGGGGCCCCGGTGCTCTCCAGGCTGCTGCTGCTGCTGCTGTAGGCATGGGGGTCTCGGCAGAGCCGCCGCCGGGACCCCCCCACGCTCCCCTCGGCCTCCGAGTCGGAGTCGGGCGCCGTGTGCCGGCGGATGCGGGACACGGCCTCGCGCAGGGCCTGGGCGTACAGCACCGGCCGCCGCGGGGGGGGCCGCCCCCGGGGACCCCCACAGCCCCCTGGGCTCCGCCACGGACTGTGAGGGCTCCCGGTGGGCTCCCGGGGGGGCGAGGGCGCTGCGGGGGGGGTGAGAGCCCCGGGGGGCGCAGGAGGGCTGCGGGGAGGGCTGGTGGGCGCCGGGGACCCCCCAGTGTAGCGGACCTGCTGGCGCTGCGGGGGGGGCACGTACTGCGCCCGGACCACCACGCGGGTGGCGTCGATGAGGACGTGTCCCCCCGACCCCCGCCGCCCCCTCCCGCGCCCCGGCACCCGCTCCCGGCCGGCCGCCGCCCGCGGCAGCGTCTGGCAGTGCCGGGGGGTGCCGGCCCCCCCC